GTGCCCCTTCCAGGCATTCCTCATCACTTCGCTGTTACGTACAGCGCCAACATCCCTGATTTGAATGCGGACGCTTTCCAGGTCACTCGGTTGAAGCGCTGCGCCTCTTATCGGTGGATTTCTAAAGCCCCTAATGCTGAACAACTTGGTAAGATCTTGCAGATGACCAGCTCTTTTCACCCTAAACTCCACCCTAATACTCCTTTGACTGACAGGTGGCGCCGTTGGCATGCTCGTGCCGAAGGGGCCTTTCTTGCCGCTGTTAAAATGGGGTTGGCGACTCAAGACAATCGTGGCGAGAGGCCTAAAGGGTCTTTTCCGGATGTGAGGCCTTGTGCTCCCGGCCAGCCCCATCGCGGCCCTCAAACTGTTCTCCACAGACGGCTGCTTCGTGTTCACCGTGCTGTTTCGGAGCTTGTTAGGCAAGGCCATAATGTTCACGCCCCTCTGCCGCCTCACTTGTTAGGTCGTCTGGACCGGGTGCTTTTCAGCGCTTGTGGCTTGCATCCTCCCCACTCTTGCTCCGCTGAGGACGCCCTGTCGCAGCTTAACCCTGTCATTCGCAAAGAGGATGACAAGCTTTCCCAGCAAGCTAGCAAGCAGTGGCGCCGCCACTTCACTGACTTTAGTCGCGATACTTGGCATGCTGCTAAACAAGCCTTGAAGCCTCCTCAGCTCCATGCGGCCTTTTCTGCTTCGGATATGAGAGAGGACTGGGCTCAGCACTGGTGCCCTGCTCAGGACAACAGTCAACAAGCTAAGTCTGCTTGGTGTGATGTCGCTGCTGCTACGCACTTTCGCTCTGAGCAACCTTCCTTTGAGCAGCCTTGTCGCAGCCACTTTGCTGAGGCACTGCTGAGTGCTAAAGGCAGTGCTGGTTTTGATGGTTGGTTAGCCCATGAGGCCGCCCTGTTGCAGCGATACCTTACCCCTCTTGCTGACGAACTTTTTGAGCTTTGGAACGAAACTCTTAGGGTGTGCAGTTCTGAGAAAGACTTACCGGAAGACCTTGCTTTCTTACTTTGGAGTTGGAAGGTAGTGGGTATCCCGAAAAAGACTGAATTTGACAGTAGACCCATTAGTGTTGGCTCAGTCCTTCTTCGCGCTTGGCACAGGACACTCCTCAAGCAGTGTCCGGAGCCGCCTAAAGGCCAATGGTGCGGCCGAAAGAACTGCTCGGTAGCACATGCCACAGCAGACTTCTTTTCTGCCAACTTGGGTCACTTTGCAGAGTCCGACCTCAGCAAGGCCTTTGACCACCTTTGGCCTCCTCTAGCCGAGGAGGCTCTCACGCAGATGGGTACCCCTCAAACGATTGCTAAGGCATTACGGCGAGCGTGGCAAGGCCCACGTTTTTGCTCCGTCGCCGGGAACCTAGCGGTGCCGCTTGTTCCTACAAGAGGAGTGCCACAGGGTTGCCCCTGCTCCCCCTTGGGTTTAGCTGCCACTCTTGGTCCTTGGTCTTTAGGGGTTGAGCAGTTAGATCCCCTACTTAAAACTTGGGCGTTCATGGACGACCGTACCATAGGTGTTCTTAAACGCGGTAACCGTGCACTTTTGCAAGCTGCTTTACAGTACACCACTTCTTTTGATCAAAAAGTTGGTTTTGAGATTAATAGGGATAAGACACAAATTTTCCTTGAAGGTTCCCAGGAGCCGACCACGATGGAACACTTGGGACTTAGGCATAACCCTGCCCAAGTTGAGGCACCAATCACTTCACGCGATCCTTGCAAGAGGAAAGAGGTCGTCGATCGCCTTAACGTCTGCCCAGGTACGATCCAAGTACGGTCTAAACTGGCAACTGCTTTCGTGCGACCATTGGAAGACTGGGCGTCGCCTTTTATGGCCCCTGCGGCTAGTCATGAGACTAAGTCGCTTTTTCGCGCCATTTCTCATGCGTCAACCAACTGGTGGTGCTTTGGCAGGTTCTGGAGTCAGCAGGTTGACAACCACCCTGCTTTCGGAGTGGCGATTAGGGGTTTGTGCAACGCCCCTGCCTTCCTTAATACCCCCAGTCCGCAACTCACTTCTGCCCTGAACAGGCATGCGGAGGTATTGTTCTTGAAAATCACTAGCGTTACTTCCCAGGCCTTGTGGGTTAAAACTAAGCGAAGTAGGGCTGCTTTAGGCATCCCTTTGCAGGACAACGAAAGTGTTTTCGATCAAAGTCTTGAAATAAACACACAGAACACTGGCCAGGACTCCAGCATCAGACATGCTTTGAGACTTCGCGCTCGCCGCATCTTGCTGCACCAGGTCAGCCGTAACAGGCTTGACAGCGAAGGCATCGAGGACATTGACTTGCAGTGCACCAGCCACCAGGCCTGGTCGAAGTGGGTTAAGTCTCTGTGCCCAGCTGACACTACTGCGCTGTGCGTCTGGAAGAGCGGGGCCATTTGGACCCCTACACGTAGATACCATCGCCCCAGGGCCCCGCAGCCTGAGCGGACTGTATGCCCTTGGTGCCTACACCCTCAAGCAAGCGCTCGCCATTTCTTCGTTGAGTGTGAGCATTTTAAGAAAACGCGTGCGGATCTACAGACTCAGCACAACATTCATGCTTCGTGGTGGGGCACCCAGCCCCGTTGCACCACCAAGTCAGGGTGGATCACTTACCAGGCGGCGCGCACAGAGGCGCAACGAGCTCAGTGTGCAATCGCTGCAGGAAAGCTCGGCATCGCAATTTTCCGCGCCACCTCGGCCGTGAAGGATTAGGTTTTCACCTTGTCTCCCCTCGCCTTCCCCGCCCTTAGGGTTTAGGATTTGGTTCTGCCTTTTTCTCGCCTTTTCGGGTTTAGGGCCATGTTTTTAGTAATTTTTTGTTTCTTCTGCAAATGGAGGATGCAACTACAACACAACACTTGCGCAAGCGCAGCCGCGCTTCGGTGCCTACTACACGGGCCTGTTGGCCAGCCGTGATGGCCCTTGCGTCTATCCCACCAGCCAGGATGGCGCATTTACATCAAAATAATATGGACCTGGACCTGGTCCCCACGGTGGTCAGCGCAGACATGTTGCACAGCCACTGTCGCGAGCTCATCTCCGATGTTCTTGAATGGGAACATCAGAAGTACGTCCAGGACAAGGTCCAAGTGGAGGGCAATGACGTGCAACTGCTACGAGTCCAGGTCCATGGCGCGTGGATCAAGGTCTCAGACGCCGTCAACCTTCCCGAAGGAGCCGACGAGTCAACCCTGGTTGACTTGAGAGCTTGCCTGGGCACAACGCGACCGCTGCACTACGCGCAGACCGCCCTGAACGGCATCCTCATGTCCTTGCCACTTGTTCTGCAAGCCCGTACTGACTGGTACGCGGCACATTTTATCCATGAGCGATGGCTCTTGGATAATGCATCCCGCCGTGAGGATGAGCAGGTGAACCGAGAATTTGGGGACTTGGATCACCAACTTGGATCGCAATGAGATGCTGAAGGACGTGAGCATTTCTTTATTCGTTCGCGATGCTGTTCTCAGCAGATGTCCGTTCCTCCCCGATCCCACACGGGAGGCCCTCGAGCACGGAGGGTTTGTTCTCAAAGGGGACCTTGATTTGATGGCTTTCGACCCACGGTGGGATGCGTACGGAGTTGAGAACCTGTACAGTCTAGTTCCAGCCCCGTTCCTAGACGTCCGGAAGATCGTCCGGGACCGGGAGGGCTGATGCGTCGGCGGACAGGGGATGGTAGCTGTGAGCTCATTCATAGCACGCATCCCGTATATCATCAGCTGAGACTCATTGTTGGGTGTCAAAAGAATGACTGAACTGCAGATTGCCTGTGCTGGACCTCTTCCTATCGACATACTCGGCATGTGACATACGGGAGCTGTATCATAGAAAGGTCGAGACTCGAGACTTCTGTCGCAGACAAGCTTGATTGGTGCTGCGGTTAAGTTAAGCTGCAATTAATCCGTGTGGCCAGCCTGTGGCTGCGGCTGCCCATTCTGGAATGCACGCGGTATGGTCAAGTTTCCGTTCGGTTGATGCCTATGTATGAAACAGTATGGTACGTTAAAAGATAACGCTCCTTGCCGAGGATGGGCAGAGAGGACGGCGGCCGTGGCGGTGACGATGACCAACAACCGCGCGACGACGACGACATCAACGTGGACGTGTCTGCACTGGTGAAAGCAGCAGCCTCTTCAAATAGAGGTTTCTGTTCGGTTCGTTTTGGACCTCCAAGAGCATGTACAATCTTCAAAAGCTCTTTATAGATAGTTGGAGGCCGCTTCTAGATGTGTCCCGCCATTTCTAAACAAAAAACCCAAACAGTTCTCAATAACATCAAAGAGTTTCAAGATATTTCAAAAATATATAGCGTCTGGCAAAGGAGGCGAGTAGAAACAGTTGGAAACCGCTTCCAGCCGCCTCCCGCTGTTTATACATGGCTACCCAAATTCTATGTACAGCTTCCAAGATTTCATATATCCCTGAAACCAATAAGGAGGCTGTTAGTTGCAGCAATGCTTGCGTGTTTTGAATGTAGCCAGGAGCACAGCATTCAACCACTCAAGGACTGCCACAACCTCAGATGAGGAAGCAAGCAGTGCATGCTTTGTTCTGCCTTGTTTGTCACCTTTGGACGTTTCCGCCAGTGTCTTGGCACCCCGTGCTCCGGGCCGGCATGTAGTAGTGCAGGTGGGATGCAATGATTGCTTTTAACTTTTGCCACACTTTGAGCTCTCTTTGCCTTAGCCCCAAATTTTTTCAAAGCGGAAAGAGAGGGGGGGCTCGCAAGTGTTTGTGGACTATGCGTGAGCTGAGTCCCCGAGTTGACTTGGTGCCCATACGCTGCCGCTGCAACTGGCGATCGCTACTTCTGCGCACATACTGCAAGCTGCGAGTATTCTACATATGTAAGGAGAAGGATGGTGTTGCTAAGGTTCTGGGAGCTTTTCCCTCTTCTGAGTGTCTTTGCCAGGGTTTGGGGGTTGGGGATCCAAAAACCCTAAACCCTAAACCCTAAACCCGTTTTAAAAACCGAATGGCTCCGTCGCCAGGTTGGCGGGTAAGGCTTCTTCTAGCAACGGCCGTGGCTCGCCAGGCGTGGCCTTTCGAAAGTTGAGTCCATTCAGGGTTTAGGACTTACGGCCTTAGGGTTAAGGGTTTAGAGTTTAGGGAGCAGGTTGCTTGCATCTAAGTTTGGTTCAACCCTACACCCGGAACTCTTGTCAGTTTTTGCTTTACCTTCGAGCGCTGAAGCACGTGAACGGGGAACAGCGACCGACTGCGACCATGCTTCTGTTGGTTCCTTTATCGTGAATCTATACACTAACGGTCCTAACACTTTAGGGAACTTCAAAATGTAGGATTTCTGAGACCCCAAAGAGACCCAAGGGCTCTCCCTAGGAGACTCCTCCAAGGAGATACCTGGACCCTTAGGGTGGAGGCTAAACCGCCTAAACCGTAGGTCCTAAACCGACGGAGGCCGATGTGCTACTGTTGGACGAGCCGACGAATCATCTCGACTCGCAGGCACCACTTGGGGGTTTACATTCCCAAAAGGGTCCAAAGTACCTTTATGGTAGAATATAGGGTTCTTATGTCAGGAATTACGAATATGATTTGGGGAAGTATCCCCCATAACAGTACTTTGGACCTTTTGGGGTTTCATGATAAAACAAGCCTGCATTGCCCATAGTAAGGAATCTACCATAATTCCCTTAGTAAAAGGTCATGAATCATGTACATGACTTGTGTCATCAGCCGTAGTGTTTAGGGTTGGGTGTGAAGGCCCCAAAGAGCTCAAACTTCTCGAGTTCAGCGGTTTAGAGTGCAGGATCTCGCTTAGCTCCAGATAAAATCAGAAGCCTACAAAAGTTTATATATTTTTCCAGTGGGCAACTGAACAGCCCAGATAACCTACCCTCTCTCAGGCATGAAGCAATCATCTAACAGTGGCCGGTTTTATAAGGATCAGGTCGGATGTTTATGGCTCTACCTGAGCCTTCAGCCTAAGCTCTAAGGCATTCCGGGTGGATGGGGTGCAGGTGTCAGGAGTCTGGGTTTAGTTGGGGTTTGGGATGTCGGGCTTCAGGGTTTATATGGTTAGGGATTCAGGCTTCCGGGTACACGGTCTGGGTTTCAGAATCCCAGGATTCATAAAGGGTTTCGGGCTTTAGGGTTTAGGGTTTCCGGTTTCAGGATTTCGGGGTTTAGCATTCGGATATAGTACGGTTTTGAGTTTAGGGTTTAGGGTCGGATATAGGATTTAGAATTCCGGGGTTTAGGGGTTAGGGGTTGGGGTCTAGGTTAGTTGATGATTCAGGCCTGTGTTAAAGCTAAGGGGCTTAAGAGAGTTTCGAGTCAAACCCCATGAATGCCCACACCAAAATTTGGCAGTGCCCCAACTTCGAAGTGCACGCCGAGGTCGGGTTAATTGGCAATAGCCATTGCAGTCCCTTGTAGTCCCTATTAGAGCAAAACGTAGTTCTGCTTCCTGAGGCCCTTCTTTAAGTCTTAGATATGTCAACTATGCAAACAGGACGCACGATACCCAAAAGCATAGCAGTCGGCAAACTTCTCGAAGCAAGCGCTGTCTGAGCACTGCATGACTGACATTTCGCAAGGATTCCGCTTGTTGCAGCCGTGTGTTTGGGTTGTTTTGGGGTTTTGCTGCAATTGGGCGAGTCGTAGCTGTTGTGTACTGCGGAGCCAGCCTGCCGTGTACCCAACACCAAATATTGCAAAACGCCGTAGTTCGGTCCGGTGCAACGTGTTCAAACACGAGTCCACATCTCCTAAACTGGCTTGTCTTTTTGGAATCTTTTTTAATTTCCCCTACTATTTTGTAGAGAACCATAATCGTATTTCTGCAAGGGCTTAAAGGACAACTCAGATAATCCCTACACCCCAACGCCTACATATAGACCCTAAGCTAGTACTTCATCTAGATCTTGAGAGGCTGTTGCCTGGCTGGTTGGTTACATCACCCAAGACCTTGCAGATTCGACCTCTGTGGCCTTGAGCCCAGAACGAAACTCGGTAGGCTTTTGGGACATGTTATATTTCCCCTTATTGGGGGTAATAGGACCCTGTTTATGAATATTTTTCAGAGGCTTTGAGGGGCCAACCTAGGAAAGGTTGCGGAGTTCTGGGGTGTTGGGTTCAAGGGTTCAGGCTGAGGGTTTCATATTTTTTGCATTTGGCTGTCATCTTTGGGAATATTGCAGAACTTTTCCGCAGCCTCTTCGTCTGTTGCTCCACAGGTCTTTTGTCAAGCTCGTGGGGTTGTGTCGTTGACGTAGCCTAGAAGCCCAGGACTGTTTGGTTGTGGCTGAGCTACTTTAGACCCACTCAGCCCACAGCCCAAGTGTCACCTAACTAGCCCAAACCAACCTATCCTGACCACGTAACCTACCCCAGCCGAGCCTGACGTAACCTACCCTAACCTTGCCTTCCCGGCTGTGCGCACCGCCCCGAAGCCCACAATCCTGGCGTGTCATCCAAACCCTGCCCCTTAGTCAAACCCCACCTAGAATCCCAACTACCATGCCCTAAGCAGCTTAAACTCCCGCTGTTCAGGACCATAAGGGCTAGCGTATTTGGGGATCCCGAAGCCGTCAGCATGAAACTAAACCTCAGGGACTCCGAACCTTAAACCTAAACTGTAACTCCAAACCCTACACCTGGAGCCCCGAGCCTTGGCTGTTGTCTCCTGATGTATTGCTGAAATGGTCTGGGGTATAGGCTTTGAGGCTGTGCGGCTTTGAGACTTTAAGGTTTGGGGTTTAGGGCTTCGGGGTTTAGGGTTTGGGTTTCTCAAAGCCTCATACCCTGGACCTCGAGTTGGGGTGACCGCAAGGTGGTTTCCCACGACGCATCCTTCTTGGATCAGATCTGCACAGACATCATACACTTTGACGAGGCCTGCGCGATCCAAACTTCAGGCTACAGAAAGCTCCTTCATTCAAGGGCTCCCGAAAGGGTCACTAGAACGGCTTGGTCTAGGTGCCTTGAGCCCTCAAAAGTCCGACCCGTCATCTAGCTGCTGGGGGGTCTTTCACATCATAGGGCTGGCTTGCAGAAGTGCGGTTTAGGGTTTAGGTGCCCGCCTACTCCAATGGTCCAGGCTCAAGCAATCAACGCATGAGTTGCACGAGCCAAATTATCTCACGAACCGCACCCGAAGAAACACACAAAGCTTCTGCAGATGCAAGGAAGCCCTGAGCTTATCAGCCTTGAGCCCAAAGTCGCCCAAGCAGCCACCTCAGTCCCAAAAGAAGCTGATGCCTGAAGCCTAAACCCTAAACTCTAAACCCTAAGCCCTAAACCCTAAACCCTAAACCCAAAGCCAAAGTCTTGAATTGACTTAACCCTGACATGCCCCGAGCATTGAAACCAAAGACCCAGACTCCCCCGCGGTGTGCCACATCGGGCCGTTCAGTTCTGCTTGAACCCTATAACACCTGCATGGGTAGTTGTCAAAATCATGGCCCCAAAATATTAGGTGCCGTATTATATTTAGGACCCAAACAGGGACCATAATTACGACAACCACCCAGATGTTTAGGCTTCTTGGGTTTAGAGCTTAGGGTTTAGAGGGTTCAGGGTGCATAGGTTTTAGGGTTTAGAGAGAGCGGGATTTCCGGATATATGTCTCCTTCTGCGCAGTGCCGGCTGAAGTACTACAAGGGCAACTTCCAAGAGTTCCGAAAGAAGGCGAACCGGGGGAGTCGGGGCTGCGAAGTTGGTAAGCTGACCCTGTCTGTGCATGTACCTACATGGTACTCGTGAGTGTCGACTGGTCTTAACATACCTGTTTAGGAATCCCGGTATGGCCAAATAATATACTAGATTGGTAGATTGGTACATGGACCCAACGAACCTCTTCGGAGAGTTCTAGTTGTTGTTATGGCTTTAAGACTTGCCGGGCCTTCGGATATTGGGGTTTCGGCTGGAAAGCTGTGTGCCTTTGTCGTTTAAGGAAGCCTCTAAGGTTGTACGGCCCGCAGTGCAATGGTCAAGACTGTGAGGGCAGTTCTTTCCTTTAGGTTCTCAGGACGTATTTTTTTTGCTTTTGGGCTCAACGACCATTCCATTCAAGGCTTTCGGGCTTTCTTGAGCCTTAGGGTTAACCCTGTAACATAATAATTCCCCAAACACTAGGTTACTTGCGCCGCAGGACGGGTTTAAGGTTCGGTATGCATCACCTGGGCTACCCAGATCTTCCGAAACCATTCAATAAAGGAGTACGTATACATGTACGTTGAATCAGGACCACTGCTAAATGCTTTGTGCTAACCTTAAAGCCCAAAGCATCACACCTCTTCACCCTAAACCGCCCTTCTGCATTTCTATGTGCTACGATTACGTCGGATGCCTCGAAGTCACTACTGTAGGATCCCGGGTGCCCTTGACCACGTGTAAGATTTTGTTGGGCTTACTGGCTGTTGATTCTGTTGTTGCGATCATCAGATCGGGGGAGGGGGGGGCGGCCTGCAGACTCGCCCTAACTCTACTTGGACCCTAGAGAATCTACCTTGTTGAGGAGCTATACAAGGAAATCATTTCGGGAACCCTGGAAAAAAGGTTATGTAGCTATAGGATCCAGACAGGGCGGAAGATCAGGTGATCTTGTCGACATTTCCTTCGGGCCTTTGGCTCTAAGGAGCCTTCAGGCCCAAAGACCATACTGCACAAAGGCTCTTGGGCTTCGGTCGTTTCATTCGGAGGTTGAAGGTCTACCTACCCAAAGTCTGCAGATCCGCCATGCGCCAGAGCCCGAAAGCGACGTCCCATGATCCGTACACTTCTCGCATGGAGGATGCGCATGATGGACTAGGATTTACGAAGTGGTTCGACGACCACGGCTCTAGAGGGCTTCGTTACTTTATTACGCTTGGTTCTTGACGTCTTATCCCTTCCCTACATCTGCGTGTATGTATCAAATAACATACCCCAAGCCTGGATGAAATCTTTCCAAACGTGAAAATCCACGGCTGTGTGCCGGTCTGCCTGTGAATCCCATGCACCCCAAGCTGCAAAACATGCAACCCAGCCGACGTCTAACCAATCAGACCCACAGCCCGAAACCCGAAGCCCTACACAGCCTTTACGATTCCCTAAGGGTCCATGTACCTAAACAGCACATACATTGGCCTTAATGCATTTCCCATATAGGTACATTGGGGCCGAAGTATATACTATTTGGGTACATGGACCTTCTACCCTAAACCCGGCCTACATAGAACCTATATAACTACCCGTAAAGGAATCCTTAAAGGATCCCTATCTTGGTACTTGGACCCTTAGGGATTCTCCGAGAAACCTCAACCAGGTGCAGCTGAGGGACGCGCAGGAACTCTTGCAGGCGCCTTGATGGGTTAAGCGCCCTGAAATGCGGCGCTTACCCTAAGGCTCCTAAGAGGGTCTTGGGCTTTCTGGGGGAGGGTTTCGGCTTTGGGGGCTAGGGTCCGGGATCTCACTACGAGGGTCCAGGAGTCTTAAGGTAAGCTCCCACACTTAAAAGGTAGTCCCCAGTTATGGACATTTTGCACCTTAAAAAGGAAACGAAATTATTGTGGATGCTGGTACCCCCCAAGGAACCCAACGTTATGGATTTTGCTACCCAAACAAAACCAAAGTCCCATAAAAACGCCTTAGGGCGCGGCTTCGGAAATCCAAACAATTGCAGGTTCAAGTGGGAATAGAACTAACATCACAACTTGATTAAGAAGCCTTGGGTCTTTATTCGGTCTCCGCATATATGATCCTAACATGCTTAGGGTTGTAGGACCAGGGTGTCTTAGTCAGCTTCTTACATTAACAAGATCTACGTGTGTCCAATGCACAGCCCCACCGGAATCTGCTCATGTATTTCGCGGCCCAGCCTAGCTTAGATGATCGCATCGATGTATACTTTTGTTGACAAGCCTGCTGCTGGGGACGATTTATAATTAATACAAAAAGATGTGATGGTAGGGTAGCTACCGCTACATTGCCACGATCACCCTACTCTGTACAGCGTCTGTTGTTTTTGTGGGTGCTTTTGAATTTGGGGACTTAAAGGAGCGAATTTGAGTTAACTGTCTTGAGACTTGAGGCTGCTTCATTACCCACGGCCATTTAAGGACCGCTGCTGTTTAGACTGATCTCCCGCTGCTGGGGCGCAATAAAGACCTCAAAGACGAAACTGCTAAGCCCTAAGACAGATTGCTCCTCTAACTTGTAAGGATTATACGAAGGCTGCTTAAGATATAACCATTGTATCCAAATCATAAGGACAGACTCCTAGCACCGTCGCAGAACCCTGAAAAGACACTGAAAGGGATCGCTTCAGCACTTTTCAACAATCAACCCTACAGGCTCCCTAAAGCTGAATATACTGTTGATGATATGAACCCTGCATTGCCCACAATCAGGAATATACTAATACCATAATTCCCATAGTTTAGGGTCCTTAAGGTAATGCAGGATTAATATCATCAAACGTATGATAGGAAGCCGTCATAGAACCCTTTGAGGCACTCAAGGGACCCCGCTCAGGAACCCTTGAAGGATCTTTCAACTCCCTCAAACCTACAATCCGATAGCACCCCCAGGTGAGCTCCCGAAGAAGGCAGCAGCCCACGGAGGTCCCACGTGCTGCCGCCGAGGTGCCAAGGAAATCGTAAGAGAAAAGAACGACAGAACTCTAACTCACATTGTTTGGGGGGCTCCTTAAGGGGATCTATAAGGGTTTCTATAAGGGTACACCAAGGGTTCAATATTTGTAGTTCTCTAAATGAGGGTCCCTTTCAGTTCTTGTTTATACGGGTGCCGTACTATCTTTGGGACCGCAAAGCGGCCCTAATGTAGTGAACTTACACATATAGGAAGCTGATCAAGAAACCCTGGTGTCTTTATTGTGGCTCTTTACATGAATCCTAAATATTCTGGGGTTACAGGGCAAGGATTTCTCAATCAGGTTTCCTACAGTCACCTCAATCCTAAACCCCACCTTGACCCTCTCATGTTCAGGGGTCCTCATATTAAGGAGTTCCTTATACAAGAAACCTACTTTTCTAGGGATGCATATTGCTCGTAGGATTTCTTCTAGAAGACACCTGTAGTAACCCAACTGGTCTAGGGATCTTTATTAGGACTTCCTTAGACAACAGATCCTTATGCATATGTAAACCCTAAACCCTAAACCGTAGGATCCTTATAGTCTTAGACAGCCTTATACATATGTCCCTGAAAAGGTAGGCGATTCGGTGTTGAGGTAAACCCTGGGCCTATAACACCAAAATAGTAGGATTCATACAAGGAGTGCTAGTAAAGGCTATCAAGGCCCAAGGTTTCTTTAATCATCAGGTTCCTATATATGGGAGTTTCCGAAAATTAGGGGTACCATATCTTGGGACCCTTATAATGAGGATCCTACTATTTAGCGTGCTATATTAGGTCCCCTATTTTTGGGAAACTCCCATAGTAGGCGATTCAGGGTTGAGGTAAAACCTGGATAACCCACCTGGATAATCCACCTGAGGCCCTCCAAGGCGAACATGTTTGGGGATTTTGTTTGGAGATCTTCGGGCTTCATATTTACCCTAAACCCTGATGCCCGAAACCCTACTAAACCCCCAAAACCTCCAAACCCTACTAAATTCCTAAACCCCATAAATCATGGAATTTTGAGTTTAGGGCGCAGGCGTTTAGGGCTTGGGGCCTCGGGTTCGTAAACTTGATGATGTCTTTCGCTAGGGAGGCAGGGCGGTGATGTCGCTCCGGGGTTTGGGATTCTTGGTCGTTGGGCGTCGCCCCACGAACTGGAAAAAACCCTATAACCACCTCGAGTCCAAAATTCTATCTTAGATACCCAAAACCTAACTTTTAAACTTTTTGGGTTCTTATAGTTTAGTAGGAATCAGAAAGTTTAACCTTTTATTTCGGTGGCTTATTGGGCTAGTAAGCTACAAACACAGGAAGAAAGCTGCAGGGGGCCTCGGCGACAGACCCCGGCTTGGATCGTTTCGGGTGGTCGCGTGGGCCAGGTCGAGGAGAAGAGGACCTCAGGCAATGAGACAACAGGAGCCGAGGGACAGGGTTTAGGGTTTTGGGGTTTGGGGTTGAGGGTTTAAGGTTTAGGGTTTAGAGGGACTGGGTTCAACCTTCGTGAAATGTTGTCGTTGGTGTATCTCCTGCGGATACTTCAAGCAAGTGCAGAAACACTGCGCCCTGAACCCTAAACTCTGAGCCTTTATAATCCACAAGCCTAAACTCCTGCACAGTGCGCCCAAACAACAGAAACCTCATTCATGGACTTCCGCTTGTGAAAATGAGCGGTACGAGGTTAAGGCACATACAGGGCAGTCTTATCGCGGATGGAACTGTTGATGGACAAACTCCTGCATGACCCAGTATAGGGAATATACCATAATTCCCATAGTTTAGGGTCCTTAAGGTCATGCAAGATTTTGTCCATCAACCCTAAACCCTAAACCCTAAACCCTAAAACCCTATAGATCCCTTAGCGGATTTTGTCCATCAACAGAAGGGACGGAGTTTTTAGATGCAGTTGTGGGAGGCCTTGAGGCTTCGGCCTTGGGAGGTTTGATCGTGATGGCAGCTTTGATATGACTTAGAAGGGGCCCCCACCCTGTAATAGCGACTATAAGGAGTATATTAGGGCCCGATTCTATTCCTATTATACCACTATTGCAGGGTGGGGGCCCCTTCTAAGGTATGACAGCTTGGTAACTTTGCTGATGCCTGTCTCTTGGGTACGGCCCCCACTCAGTAATAGTTGAATAGTATTCAGAATGTAGATATGTGAGGACCTTAACAGTAGCCCTATTATAGACTCTTGCTGTATGGGGGGCAGTACCTAACCTGTCTCGAACTTCAGGGATTCCGATCTGTGGTTTGCCATGCCAGGCTTTAGGGTTTAGGGTTTAGGTTGCCATGCCAGGATGTATCTACAACAGAGAAGTGGCGTATTGAACAAGCCCACTTGCCAGCTTGACCGCTTAATTAGGTCCCTAAGGGTCCAAAGGACCCAATAAACAGGTACTCGGGTTTAGGATAGTAGTTACGTAGGTTACTATTTTCGGGAGTTGTTGATCATCAGGTACTTGGACCCTTTGGGGTTCTAGAAGCTGTGACCATGGTTTGGAAGCCTCGATTCAGAAGTGTCCCCCCCGGAGATTTCCCTGGGAGGAGCGTCCTTGCGCGTGAGCTTGCCGGTACCGGGGAAGGTGAGTGGCCCAGGTTCTCATAAGTTTAGGCTTGTTTATGATGCTGGGGTTTCAGGTATTTATTACAGGTTTCCCGTCCCCACAATCTGAAATCAATGGGCTTGGAAGTGCTCGAGGCGAAAATGCTGGAAGTTGAAGTCCTGAAGATCTATGTGGGAGTTTTGGGTAGATGCCTTCGGGTGCAGGTTGCAGGGTAAGTGAACAGTGCTATCTGTCGAACTCTTGCTCAGCCTTTCTCATTACTCACCCACATATGGCAGTGCGCAGCCCTAAACCCTAAACCGGCAGTTGTGTATTTTGCGTCTTCGAGGGCCCCCGGACTTGCCGGGGCTACGCGCTCGATCCAATGCTTCCTCAGTGAAAATGGAAAATAATAAGTCGACGACTATGGAGTCTACGTCCCAAAACCTAAGCTCTGAAGCCCAAACCCTGTACAAACCTTGCACCCTGGACAACAAGCTCACAACAATCCTCTTGAGGCCAGAAGGCTGCTCCTAGTGAACAACAGACTTGTAGCACATGCGCGCGTGAACACACACACACACACACACATACCAAGATCCACGTAAAACATATATATATATATACATATTGCTATATGTATATGTATATATTTGTATACGCACATGATGCTTGTGTGTACTGATTGCTCGTGCATTGATCTATCTATCTCTGTATGTAGAAGCACAGACGGAGGGAGAGAGAGAGAGAGAGAGAGAGAGAGAGAGAGAGAGAGAGAGAGAGAGAGAGAGATGAGAGGGGGATCGACAGAAGCCCACTTCAACCCTAAAACCCTAAACCCTAAACTTCAACAGGTGGAAGGGCTGACCAGTGTCAAGAAGCCGGTCATCGAGTTGAAGAACGTGTCGTTCAGGTGCCCTGAGACATCTGACCCTGTTAGTTCTTTTGCAAACCCTAAACTCTAAACCCTAAGCAACTAAGGCAGCGGTCATGCGATGATTTGATTCTGTAGCCGGAGCACAGCTCGAAGAAGAGAAACTTCGGATGAGTCCAAGCACGGCTGAGTTGTGTTCATGCAGGCAAAATCATGGGTGTAGGGTTTAGGGTTTAGGGGTTAAGGGAAGGGAAGGCGCGACTCTTGTCACTGCATTGGCAAGGTATTTGATGGCCAACGAGTACATCCTGCAGCACATCTGTGGCAAGGCACGCTTAGAGGTTCATGGGTAGTTATAAGAGGAGTTATAAGACCCCTAATATGGGTTACAGTTATGCTCACATCTCTGGCAAGCCAGAAGCCGGCAGTTCCAAGGTCTTGAACGCGCTTGCGCAGATCTAGATACCCAGACCTTCCAAAATCCCTTAATTAAGGAATATACCCTAAATCATGTTAAGGATCCTACTATGACTTAAGGTATATTTCTTAATTAAAGGATTTTGGAAGGTCTGGGTACTACATCAAGGTGCAAGACGCAACGGCCCGTGTTCTTAGGACGACTTCTTTCAGTCCTGTGTTTCCCACAGGGCCCAAGAACCCGTAGAGTGTATACTTTGGCGTTTAAGTGCCTATATAGGGACTTCCGACTACATTAAGGCTTAATCAAGTTTTTACCGTATGAGTACCAAGACTCTTAGGGTAGGTAACTTGGTTGTTTCCCTTGCGATACGTCGCTTGCGATACAGTTGTGTCCACTTGTTGCAGCCTAGGCCGGTAAACAGCTCGGGAGCAGCCAAGGTCACAGCAATGAGCAGGATCGCCATTGTCGGCCCCAATGGTGTCGGCCACAGAAATCGGGTGCAGGGATAGTCAGTGTCTTCAGTACAAAGCTTGGGGCTTGCGACTTAGGCTCACGCGAGGGTCGGATCCTGTCAGTCGTAAGCGGAGTGGGCCCGCGGAAACACGGACAGGTGCTGGCTTTCAATGAGGAAATGCCCGAATGCCCACAGGCTCCATGTACCCATAAAGTATCTGCATTGACCCTAAGGGACCCAGGCCTATGTCAATGTATATAGTATACTATATTATATAGGCACAGGGACCCTTATACCATAAACCCTGATAGAAACCTTTAAAGCTTTAAAGGAATGCTTAAAGGATCCCCATATTATAGCCTTTAAGGGAATGCTTAAAGGATCCTCATATTATAGCTTTTGAAGGAATCCTAAAGGATCCCCATATTATAGCCTTTCCTTAAAGGATCCCTCTATGGGTACATGCAGCCTCCGGCATGCCGCACACTAAGGCGATGTGTAGGTGGTGGGATCTGGGTGTTTGTGCAGATGTAATGTCGGGTCCTATTAGGGTTTAGGGTTTAGGGGTTCAAGGTTTTGCCAAATACTGTATTTTTCGCATGATTAAAGTATAATTGGCCCCAAAACCCTTTTCCAATTATTAAGGCCCCTGTATTACCTCCCTTGCCAGTGAAATGTGCTCCACGAGCCAAGCAAGATACCAACACGGCGCGAAGACATTCTTCGGTGCTCAAGAAGTAGTGTAGACCCTGAGGGTCCTAACACTTTAAGGAACCTCAACATGTAGGATTTCTGAGACCCCAAAGAGACCCAAGGGCTCTCTCTAGGAGATTCCGGACCCTCCTAAGGAGATACCTGGACCCTTAGAAAGACGAGTGGTCCTTTTCCAGCTGGCAGGCCCCTAGGTTGCCTACACACCCAAAGGGTCCTAGGTACTGTTATGGGGAATGCTTCCCCAAACCATAATTGTAATTCCTAATATAGAAACCCTACATTCTACCATATAGGTACTTTGGACCCTTTGGAACAATGCTGCACACTTCCCTTCCTCTGACTTTCAGTGGACTCTTTACCAGCGTGTTACAGCGTAGCGCTTATTTGGAGACGTGAGCCTGGTACTTAAGCCCTGTCCCTAAGGCTCAAAATAGCCCAACAGCATTTTTAGTGTATTGTCTGCACAGAATTCTCATCACACGAGTTCTTAGAGCCTGAGGGTGAGCACTCGACCCTGAACCCCCAAGCCTAGGCCCAACAACACCGCCCAAACGGTGACACGGTTGATGATATAAATCCGGCATTACCTCAATGACCGTCTATGGGGATTATTGCATATTTCCCGTTTTGGGTAGGATTTTTGTCATCAACCGTGGTGATAAGATCCCATGGCAGCTAAGCCTGAAACCAAAAGCATTTACTAGAGGAGCTGTAATAACTACCTGTATATACATGGCAGACCCCATCACCCTATTCTCTCTACTAAGGCTCCTATACTATAGTGCCCTTATAGACCCCTTATAGTAACCCTTACAGACCTCTTTACAGGAACCCTACTCTGACTAGTAAGGCCCTTATTATTAGCCCCCGAGGCTCCGGCAAATCCACTTTGGTGTCATGGCCTCGGCCGTCGTTCTTCACATAATGGGAGTTTCCGAAAATTAGGGGTACCCTATTTTGGGCTCCTTATAATAAGGATCCTACTATTTAGGGTACCAGAGTGGGGTCCCCTATTGTGGGAAACCTCATATATGTTGATGCATGTTTTGCAAACATGTCCATACATATATATATATATATATATGTATATATGCATACAGAGGTCAGGGAAGACTAAGGGGTTTGGGTGTAGGGATATACATATGTATATATATATATACACATGTCGCAGGAGTCTATGCAGTTATCACAGTTTTCTGTATATGATTTCGAGGGAGCTTTCAATCTCGCGGGGCTTGGGGAGTTTTGGCTTGGGTATTGCCACCGTTCTTCGTGCTTGATCGCACTTCTAGTACAGATACATATATATATATATGTACACACATATATATATATATATATATATACACATATATATATATGTATATATATATATATATATATATATTTATTTTCACACGTGTACAGTAAACCCCATAAAGTTGGAAACCGGATCAAGGCCCTAATAGTGCTGGGATTCCCTATGCATTGCTTTTAAGAATTGGGGCTATTGGGTTTCCACGTTTTGGGCTCGTAGTGTATATAGGGCCCTTATTATGACCCCGGTAAATAGACTGCTACCGGGTACCTCAAGTTTAGGCGTGTTTCCTTGCATTGTAAGGCCTTGGGCTTAAAGTTTGCCCTATCTTTTGTCATAGCTTTGCCAAAAGCCAGAAACATAAACTCTTTCTAAGGCTTTTTTTTAAACTTGTCTTTTTGTCTACCTTAAGGCTCCTGGACCCTTGTAGTGAGATCCCGGACCCTAGCCCCCAAAGCCGAAACTCTGCCCCAGAAAGCCCAAGACCCTCTTAGGAGCCTTAGGGTAGTCCCTAAAGCACTGAGCCGTTTTAACTGCGAAGTCGGGCACCGAAATTTTTGCAAAGAGGTCCCTTCTCTGCGGAGAAATCAGGCTCGAGCCGAGCCGTGTGCACTTGGGGACTCGAATATGGGTCTAGGTCCAGTAGAGTTTAGGGTTTGGGGTAAGGTTTTGGGGTTTAGAGTCTTGGGGTATAGAATCATGGAGTTTAGGGTTTGGGGTTGTTGGCTTTAAGGTCTTGGGGTATAGAATCATGGAGTTTAGGGTTTGGGGTTGTTGGCTTTGAGGTTTTGGTGTTTTTTTAGGCATGGAGTTTAGGGTTTTGAGATTGGGGTTAAGGGTCTACACATCCAACGCCACAAGTAACTCCCAGTCAAGCCTACCACAGAAGCCGGAATAGTTAGCATGTAGTAGCGTCCATAATGGTTCCGCACGATAAGGATAAAATACCCCAAATCCCAATTCTAACTGTATACCATCTTTGCCCGAAGGGTCCATGGACCTACATATGAACTTTTCGTACTTTGGGTGCAAATCTGTTCCTTTGTTTAGGGTTATGTCACTTAGTTAGGGTTGCACCCCGTAAACCGCACACCCTAAAATCCAGCGTTTCCCAGTTCTTCCAAGTCAGGAACTCTTTTAATCATCTCAGGGATACCTGTTCTGGTTTAAGGTATTTTGGTTAGTTAACAGTACGTCCTGGTTAAGGGATATTGGTATATTTGGATGATGTTTGTTTTCATGTTATGGACCCCCACTTCGGAGGCCAAGCGTCGACGAGCTGGGTGCAGCGGGCGAAGTGGACCGGCACAGGATTCGGCCGGCCTCTGATTTCAGGTTTAGAGTTGTTTGGTCTGCGGTTTGAGGGTTTCATGGTTTGTTTCTGTAGGGTTCTTAGAATGAGGCTTGAGGGCTTAGGCGGCTCATTGTTGCAGTGTCAAGCAATCATGCTAAACTGCTAGACAGGACGGCAGGAGCACTTCAAAGACCTCAAGGCTCATCTCAGAGGCCTTGAGCCCTGAACTCTTGACCCTAAACCTTCAACTACGGTTGATGATATAAATCCTGCATTACCCATAATAAGGAATATACCATAATTCCCATAGTTTAGGGTCCTTAAGGTAATGCAGGGTTTATATCATCAACCGTAAAACCCCTAAGTCCCTAAACTCTCCACCCTAAACGCAGCAAAGCTTCTATCCTCGGGTCTCGATTCGATGCTCAAATCGCGATGCGCTCCGAGAGCAACAACGAGCAAGGTCAGGCAACATGTCCTGACCCGGCCCTAAATTTAGGGGTACTTAGAAACATTTTTTTTATTTTTTGGTTATTATAATCCCTAAGAAACAGCTAAAATTGTAATTTTCGCCTAGGGTTCTAAGTTCAGTATAGTAAATTCTCAACCCGAAACTCATAATCACCAGCCTGATGAGATGAGAAGACAACGGTGCTTGACATTATTTATGGGAGACATTTGAAGCCACGCTTGTTCTAGGTGCGTCACCTTCATTAATAGCTCAGGCTGCTGTATCAATCTATAAATCTCTACCCATAGATGTATGTGTATATGACTGTATATGTATATATAAATATGTGCACTGCACACATGCATCATCGCAACATGCTGTGCTATGTTTCATGCTATGTATTATTCTGAAAAATGTCGCGCTGTAAATCGCCGCAAGAACCAGAATACACTGCGAAATCAAAACACAGAGCAACGACAAAGCCTCTGCAACCACAAAGCACCGCACCTTGGGGCCAAACCCGATAGCCCTTATGTATAGCTACATAAATAATATGTGTATATATATATATATAAAGTAAACAAACAAGTTAGCAGTATATAGTAACCATGGCCGTAATAATCGTACAGGCACCTTTTTGTGGTGATTGTTGAGGAGCCTCCGTCTTGCCTACGTCGCCCAAAGCCACTCGCCCGAGGCTCAGTTCGTCCTGTAACATTGAGTTTCGTAGGGTCTGGGCACGTTTTGGGGTTGAGGTATGGGTTTGGGTTTACTTAGGGTTTAAGGTTTAGGTAAGGTATAGGGTTTAAGGTATCGAGGTTTGGGAATTTATTGTTCCAATTTTGGCGCAGAGGGATCAGGTTACTACTATTCCTTCTGTGGCGTGAGTCGGTGTTGCATTCTCCCGTCGTTTTTGCACTGCATTTTGTTGTCAGTTCTCGCACCTAGTAGTCGAGTAGGTAACCTTTAACTTTTTTGGGTTAGTATAGTCCCTATATAATCCGTATAGAAGCAAGCGGTTAGCCTTTAGTTCCCCATGATACCCGACAGGTAGGAGCATGTTATTAAACTGGATTCACCGAGATGGCAAACACCTGTGGTTTAACAGGCCGTGCCCGAAAGCGCGTGCACAATGCATTCCCGGGACAAGAGCTCGCCGGGTTGTTCGAATAGATTTCCAGGACGACAGAATGTGTGCTTCATGCTATACAATGCATATACACGTAAAATGTGCATGCGTGTATTCACGTGTTTGAGATACAACTAT